CGGCGCGCTCCGCCCCCCGCACCGGCTCTGAGGAGGGTCTCGCCCGCCCCCTTCTCCGCGCTCACCTGGGGTCCGGCCTGGTACGCGCGGAGGCAGGGCCCGAGGCGCCGGGCCGCCCCCCGGCTCGGGTGATACATGACTTTGCGGGAGCGGAGAGGGCGCCTCCCGAGTCTGGCCTGTGGCCTCCTCGCCGGGGTGAGCGCGCCCCGAGCCGGCTCCGTGAAGGGGAAAGGAGGGAAGGGGGGGAAGGGGCCGAGGGAAAGCGGAGATGTTGCGCGCGTGCGCACTGCGGCCTCCAGGGAGGTGGCTGAGGCGCCCGTCCGCCCCGAGTGCGCCTGCGCTCGCCCGCCGCCGCCTCGGGGCGCCTGCGCGGTAAGCTAGCGGCCCGGCCGTGCGGCGCACCTGGGGCACCTGCGCAGAAGCCAGGGAAGCCGCGGAGACTTGGGACATCGGGGACGCGTGGGATTGAAAGGATGACCAGGTTTTCCACCAGTTCTCGTGATAAAAATAAATGCTTTTATTGCTCTGGTTAAAAAGAAAAAACGGCACAAAGCGGTTCCTGCCGTGAGGCCGCCTGTTGAATGAATGAATGGGCTCGCCGTCACCACGGCCTGGTGCTGCGGCGCTCCTGCAGGCTGCGCACGAACCTGGCGCTGAGCACCTCCGTCCGGGGCTGCGTCGCGGGCCCGGGTCCCCGCGCGCACGCGTCCCGGGCCGGGCCCTGCTCCTCGCGGGGACACCTGGCGGGCGGGGAGCCGGGTTTCGCTGCAGAGGACTCGAGGCCGGAGCCACGGAGCCCCATTCCAAACGTGAAACCCTCCCGAGGACCGCGGGAGGGGGCGAGGAGCCGCCGGGCGCTCGGGGAGGGGCCCCGCCTCACCCGGTCTCCGGGTCCGGGTCCCCCCGCCTCGGCTCCCGGGTGCCTGCGGAGACAGCGCGTGGGCAGGCGGGGGCGCGCGGTGGGCGCGGCCCGCTGGCGGCGGGAGCGGTACTCACCGGCTCCGGGGCGCAGGGCCGCGGGCCCCCGTGGCGGCTGTAGCAGCGGCTTTGGGCGGCCAGCCCTGGGGGCGTCCCCCTGCGGGAGAAAGGGAGATGGTGGGGATGCGGCCCGGAGGGATGCGCGGGGAAGGCGCGGGAGGGACGGCGCCGCTCGGAGCAGGGCGCGCACCTGTCCTCGCCCCAGAAGCGGGAGCGGCTCACTTCCCGCCCCGAGACGTCCTGTGGCGCTCCTGACTCGCGGCTTCCTTCTTTCTGCCTGGGACAATGTGCTAACTACACGGCGGGTGAGCTCCAAAGCATGCGGTGGAAACACGCACACAGACGAGTTTGCTGGAGCAGGGTTTCCTGTAGGCGACCTCAGCCCGGGGGGAGAGGAGTGATCAGACCCGAGGGACGGGGGACGGGGGCCGCCGGGCTCTCCCCGGGGCAGCGGCTCATGCTGAGGCCCGAGCGGTCAGTGGGCCGGAGGTCAGGAAATCAGCATGGGAACAGGACCCTAGGGGCAGCTGGCGGGTAATTAGTGGGTCCCGAGACGCGGAAAGTGGCATCTCCAGGGCTGGCCAGGTGCGGCACGTCACCGGGTTCCCGGGGCCGGGGGCCTGGCCTCAAGCCTGCGGAGGAGCCGGCGGCTCCGCTGGTGGGACGGGGAGCCCGGGGCGGGCCCTGCGGCTGCCCTGGAGGCAGGTCTGTCGGCCTCGGAAGTGAGGAGGAGGAGGAGACGGCCGAGGTCCTGAGAGCCCAGGAAACAAGGAGTGACACCAACGAGGGGGCGCACAAATGAGGCTGACACCTTGTGTTGTTTTTTTTTTTTGTGGGTTTTTTTTCACTGAAAATGTCAGTTTAGAAAACACAGAAAGAATTCACTTTATTCAGACAACAGTGAGGGGGAAAGAAGAGGGAGGCGTGAGTGGGGAGAGAGGGAGAGCCTGCTCCCGAGGACGCGGGGAGTGTGGTGGGAGGGCCTGATCTACACACGCGGGGCCGGGCCGGGGAGCCGACGCCAGTCTGGACCCTGGGCACGGGTGAGGGCCAGGGAGGAGGGCAGGCCGGGGGGACTGGCGCCCACCCCACGCGAGACGTCTCACCAGACAGGAGCGGGTGAGCAGAGCCACAGGCAGGGGTGGACTGCAGGGCGTTCCAGGATCTAACTGAACACCCCGGTGTTTGCTGGGATCTGCCAGAACTAAACTTCAGCGAGTCTGGGTCTGGCAGAAGTGGTGGTGTAACGAGTGTGGGGGCTCCCTGACACAAACGTGGGGGTGAAGTTTGGCAACGGTGAGTGGACCCCACTGGGGAGCCGCTGAGCCCGTCCTGTGTAGCTGGGCTGCTCTGAGGCAGAGCTTGCTCACGCCGCAGCACAGAGCAGGACTGAGGGGACACGGATTACCCGGGGGCAGGACGCCCGCAGGGGCTCCCTGGCAGAGGCCTTCACCCTCCCCGGGGGCAGTCTGATGGGCAAGCCCGTGCTGCTCTAGATGCTCTGCGCAGCCCAGCACAGGGTCTGGCGGCAGATCAGGCTGCGGAGAGTACAGAGCCCGGGCTGGGCCAACAGCGGTCCCTTCGGTGCTAAGAAAAGCTACAGTACTAGGCCGTGTGGGACCCTGACGACCCAGCCGTCTGAGAGGGGCAGAGCACTCCCACGGCTCCGACAGGGTCCACTGGGTCTGGAAGATGCAGGGAGGCGGGGCCGAGCCGCTGAGGGAGGGCGGCTGTCAGTATCGACTCTCATCAGAGCGGGGAAGGGAGCTGAGGACGTCATGGACGGGAGGAAGGAGAGGGAAACGGGAGAGAGAGAGGAAGGAGAGGGAAACGGGAGAGAGAGAGCAGAGAGGTCAGAGCTGAAAGGAAGCCAGGTGAGAGGACAGAGGTGCCTGCCCCCGCGGCCGGGAAGGGCCGTGGCCCAGGAGGCCTTGATCCTGGGACCCAGGGGCCCCAACGCGCAAGGGTCAGGCTGCGACGTCCCGTCGGGGAGGACAGCCCTCCTGCCAGCGCCGAGCTGTCCCTCCCTCGCACACAACTCCCGAAACGAGGGCACCAGGCCACATGCACAGCCCTGAGCTGCTCTCGGGCTTTCTCCCAAACCACTTCCACAAATACACTTTAATGTATTTTCCTGGAAAGGCTTTGAGACTATGTATCTATCACCGTTCGCATCTCCGGCAAATTCCAACAGCCCTTTCCATTTCTAACCCTTTTATGAGCGGGGGCCGTGGGACAGTGCAGGACCTTTGCGCTGAGCCACACTGCCCCCGGCCCTTTCTGAAAACGTATTTGGGAGTTTTCAGGCAGGACCTCGGCACGCTGCCCAGGCTGGGCTCAGTGCCGGGGTGATACCCCGCCAGCCCGGGCTCCCCCGACAGTCCCCGGCTCCCTGCCCCTCCGCCCGGTACCTGGTCCGGCGGCGCTGCGCCGGGCTGCCCCCGGGGTCGGTGGCCAGCAGGAGGCGGGCGGTCGG